ATTCGAGAATATGGATGTTAAAACACCTGTAACCAAACGACATGCTGTATGTGATGATGTTTTTTTCTTTGTTTTTTTATTGTTGTGTGTATGTGTTGTCTATGTAATAAAAAAAAAAAATTATATTTAAAAAAATGTATGCCAATTCTACCTTGAAAGTTATGTGTAATCCTGAAGGGACTTTAACTGTCCCAGTAAGGGTACAAAAAGGGGTAGGGCAGAGTTGCATCCTGTCCCCCTCCCTTTTTAACTTCTATATCAACCCCCTGATCGATTGCTTACAGAACCTTGATCTGTATCCTAACCTAGCACCACAAAATTCCAATTCTTCTATATGCCGACAATGCTGTTATTATTTCACAAACTCCTGTAGGACTGAAGAGAGCAATTAGGGCAACACTTGGCTACTGCAGACAGAACAAGTTGGTCCTTAACTTTGATAAAAAAAATTTTTAGTTTTTGCTAAAAGACCTAGCCCAGTGATGGCAAACTTTTTTGGCACCGTGCGCCCAAACTGGAATGCTCGTGCATGGGCGGGCATGTGTGTGCATGTTGAAAACCTGAAGACAATCTGGCCGGCGCGTGCATGCCTGCTTTTTGGGCAGTTTTGGGGCCATTTTGGGGGCTGTTTTCAGGCCATTTTTCAGGCTGTTTTGGTCCAGAAAACAGCCAATAAAGGGCCTGAAAATGGCCCAAAAATGGCCTAAAAGTGGCGTGAAAATGGCCCAGAAAACTGTCTGAAGATGCCATGAAAAATGCCTCCCAAATAGCCCATAAAATGGCCCGAAAAACAGCCCGAAAATTAGCCTGGTTTTTGGCTGTTTTTCAGGCCATTTACAGGCTGTTTTCCTGTGTTTCAGCATCCGTGAAGACCAGCTGGAAACCAGAAGAGCAGCTGGTGATGGCACGCACGTCCACAGAGAGGGCTGCATGCCACCTCTGGCACGCATGTCATAGGTTCATCATCACAGACCTAGCCAATACTCTGGGAAAATAGAAGAACATAGTTTAGAACAGGTTAGAACATTTAGATACCTTGGGGTCAGGGGTGGGTTACTGCCAGCATTGCTGCCAGTTTGCTTCATGTGCGCTTAGTTTTTTAATGTAATATTATCACCCCGAGAACCATGAGTACTTTCAATAATAATCATAGAATATTGGAATGATGCATGCTTATGTTTCTTAATTATGATTTGTATTTTTTCATAGTTTTGAATTGAAACTGGGATAAATAGGATAAATTTACTGACTATAAACCCTAGACTTCCTGCATGTCTGCTAAGTTACCACCCTTCTATGGTCTTTTATTTCAGGAAACCAACCAATGAAATGATAGTCACATGAAATGATGAGAAAAAAGATGGAATAGATATAAGCTGAAACTTGTCATTCTGATACTAATAGTAACAGCACTTAGATTTATATACCATTTCACAGTGCTTTACAGCCTTCTCTAAGTTGTTTACAGAATCAGCGTATTGCCTCCAACAATCTGGGTTCTCATTTTACCCACCTCGGAAGCATGGAGGGCTGAGTCAACCTTGACTTTAGTCAAGGTTGAAGAGAATCATTATGGCTGGTTGTTCATGTATCCTTTTGAATCATACATCAAGTGTGTTCTTGAAATACATCAAATCAAAATACCACTGGTTAAACTAACATAATAGTCTGGTTTTGGCTTGGGCATAACAGTTTGCAAATCATAGTTGGTAGCTATAATATTTTGCCTGATTACAGCCAGTGTATAGCAGATTTTATCTTGAAATTTCAGAAACTATGCAATAAATTATGCTTGACTCCAAGCGATTGACTCCTAATGACCACATACATATTTAGTGGACAGATAAACAGTAGCAGAGTTGTAATATTTCTGCATTTTGCCAGTTGACCCAAATGGTTAATTTTCCCAACACCGTAGCAATATGTCTTCTCAATTTTCCGAAGTATTTGATTGACACTGACTCTTCTCATTTCTATAGCATTTGTTTAGTCGTCTTCAACACCTTTCCCCAGATTTTATTCCAGATCAAAGTACAAAAGTTCGTCTCTTGATAGTAACAATGCATAATGCGTGCTTCTCAAACTGACACAAAGCCAAAGTTTCAAGGGAAGCCCTGGAAACCAGCTATCTACCTTGTTCTTCAGCAGCTTGACTGGCGAGCCCTCGTTCCTGCCCCACCCGCGAGTCAGCCTTTGGCTGGCCCCTGGGATTGAAGGGAAAGGAAGGGGAGGACCAATTCCGCCCCTCTTCTCCCTTCCCAAAGACGAAAGGTGACGTCATTATCCGGGCTTTTCACACTGCGGGTCACAATGGAGTCGAAACGGAGCTCAACCGAAACGAAACGGCCGGGTAGCCACCCCCCTCAGTGATCGCGGCCTGGCATCGTTAACTTGGGCCCCGCTGGCCCGCCGTCGACATCTTGCCCAGCCACCAACGCCGTCAGGCCTTGGCCCCTCCCCCACCGGCTACACACGGCACACCAAGCAGACCCTGCCACTGTGCGGCGGTGACCCTAGCCTCACATAAAGCAAGGCGTGAGCGGGTGCTGATGGTCCTTGCTCTGCTTTGGGCACGGAATGGGGCTGTAGGAGTGATTGACTGACTGACAATCAGGAAAGGGAGGGAGTCACGCTGGTGGCCGCGAACGCTGTTTGGGTGGCGGGGCCGGCGCCGCTGTGTTGAGTCGGAGTCTGCGCTGCATATGCTGTGAGCCGAGCCCTCCTAGAGCCGCCATATTGCCCGGGACTCTGACGCTCAGTCTTTGCTGGTGCTGCTATCTCCGTCGCGACTTTGCTCCTAGACGCAGTACGGATTTCTTTTTCCTCTTCTAAAGGCAGTTTCGTAGGTTTCTCGCTGGTGGCCTTGCCAGTGCAGCCCCCCGCCCCCGCATCTCCTATTCTATTCCCTTCTCCAGGGATTGAAGGTATCCGATTTCCCGGATGAGGTAGAACAGCCTGGAGGCCTAGCTCAGCCTAACGAAACTACAGGACGAGAAAAGCGTCGGTCCACTTGGGCCTCGCAACTCAACACCGGCAACTGGCGGTCGCCGAAAAGCTAGTGACGCAAAACTAAAATAATACAAGAAAAGGTCGCACGCAGTCAGGAAAGCGACACGGGACCGCTTCGTGCAAAAGCCGGCTTCTCTAACAGCCACCGCCACTCGGATTTTCCTAGGGATGAGACGCAGCCCCGTTGGTTGCGGCGGCGGCTTGTGCCGCCTGGGATGAGAAACTCTTCGGCCACACCCGCCGCAGCCTCCTCCTCCCTGCATCGCCATCAGCAGCGGCGCCCGGGAGCAGAGCGGGCCTCGGCATTAGAACCAAGAATAGCAGCAGGAAAAGGCGACGCTTTGTGGGGGTAAGCGAGTCAGGAAAGGGGCTGGTCCATCGGAGAAAGGAAGGCTCATTCTGTGGGTAACCAAGGGGGTAAATTCCATGAGGGGAGATTTTCGCTGGGTATCTTATCTCTTCGTTCGTGAGTTAGCGTATCTCGAAGTGAGTAATGTCTGTTCGTGCGTGTGTCAGTGTCTTGGAGCATGGAGGGAAAATGGCTGACGACTCAGTCCTCATTCTTTCTGCCCGGCCTGAACTGGGCCTTGCAGGAGAATGGGACGCGCACACACTATATCCGCAGTCCCGGGAAGAAAAAAAGACAACCTGCAGAGCTGGGCGGCTGTTGGCTTGGCTCTTCCTTAAATAGCGAAGAAAACTGGCGAAGAGAGTACAAGTAGTACCCGGTAGACCTTCCCGTCATTTAGTTTCTTTTGATTCTCGTTCCACTTCATAGCAAACGCCATTATTGAGGTGGAGTGATTGGAATCGTATGGGCCTAGTCCACCCCAGGAAATAAGGCTCTGCACAAGTTCTTTTTTTTCTAAATCCGGTCTCGGATGTTGCGGCCCAGCGGTTTCGCCTTCGTGGTAAACATTATTGTCATGGGTGCAGGTGGGCTGTGTCATGGCTGCACTCTGTTTCCAGTGAAGCTGCGATATTATAGGATTTACCAGTATGTTAAGTTTACATTGAACGTAGTTTGTTTCTTTGAATATGTGAGTTTCATAGGTACCTTTACAGCAAATTGGATTTAAAATTGACTTTCCTGAGCACAGAGTTCTTTTGTAAGATACTTGAAATTTATAAGTGGAATTTTATCCACTTCCACCAAGAATTGGTGGAAGAACTCCCATTGATTTTAACATGGTCTGCTTGTGGCTATAACAAACTAATAAGTTTGGTACACAGTCCAGAATAAGTCTTAAATTTGAATAGAAAAAGCATAGCTGTAATTCTGTGAGGACTGCTAAATCAAGCCTAATGTAACTCAGTGAACCTCTAATACGTATGTGGTGGATTATAGTAATGGTAGATTATTCTCATATTAAGCTCTCTTAAGGTACTTTGAAATCTTTTCAGTTCTGTCCTGTCCTGTCCTGTCAGTATCTTAATTTTGCACAACATATTTTAAACTATGCTTCTGGTACGGATTGTTTGGATGGACTTATGTTGATAGAAATGTGAAATCAGGGGGTGTGTTTTCTATTTAGTGCATAATCAGACATGGCCTAGTTACATTTTATGTCTGTTTTTTATGTAGCTATAACTAGTCTTAGTGCAATGTATGCTAGCATATATGCATTAATTGGTTTTCTGTTTTCCTATATTACACTTGAGTTGTGTACTACAAAAATCTTTTGTTAGAATTGAATACATCAGTACTGTATGACTAAAGTTGTAGGGATATTAAAGCATGTTCCATTTCAGAAAATGAACGATTTTGAAATGGGTTGTGACAGTTTTAATAATTCCTTACATTGATGAGGCATATATTGTGTTTTTATTTTTTAATAATTGAAAGGAAAATTGGGCAAATGCAAACACTGTTATGCCAAAGTATTTCTGCCATATCTGGAATGAAATATCACTGAAATTTATGAATTGCTTTTAATGCAATTATATTAAAAAAAATCTGGAATAAGTTGCCATCCTATTTTTTCATATATTTATAAAACAAAGTACTAGCAAGTTTTCTATTTAAATATGCAAACCACATTGATCTAAGACCAAGTTAAAATACTATGTATATTTACATAGAAGTATATCATTAAAATCAATGGCAGTTGCTTATAATATTGTACAGGATGTACTGTAAAAGCAAGATTATAGTATCTTTTGGTTTACTTGATTTCCTTCTCTATGCTTTTCATAAATATAGGTGATAGAGCAAACCCACAAAACTTCAAGTGACTCTGTCATTAATTCACTTTTAGCTTGCTCACATTCAGTGTATTTGAATATTTCTTAATGAAGAATCCATAATTTTTTGAAAATAAAAATTAAAGTTTTAAAATAAGTTTCTTGAAATACTTTTAAAAAAGCAATTATTTTATAATAATACTAAGAATGAAAAGGAAGGATGAGATAGAGATACTAGGGGGGAAAGGTATAGAAGATTTTCACTTTATTTAACTGAAAGAAAATTAGTTTTCCAAACTAATTTACCTTTAAAAAAGGATCATCTTGGATTCACCCAAGAACAAATGTGGAAGGAGATTCTAATATTTGAGGACAAGAGATATCTTAAATTAGGGTCATGTTACTTTTAGGTAAATGTGTTAATTATCTTAAATATTCATTTGAAAACACAAAGATATACCAAACATAATTGGGGAAATAAATTGTGTCAGGTGATTATCATGGTATTTATAATCTATAATAGCAATTGTTCTTTTGTCTTGGAGCTGGGCAGTTAAAAATGTAGCAAATTTTGTTTCAAAAAAGTAACATTAAATTAGAATTATTTGAAGAATTAAAAGCACTTCACTGGTAATAGGAAATACATTGGATAGCAATATTTTAAAACCTGTTGTTGAAAGAGTGTAATGTGCTTGAAGTGCCTATATTTTAAAACCTGTTGTTGAAAGAGTGTAATGTGCTTGAAGTGCCTA